TATTCTTGATCAGGAGAATTTCTATTCTTCGTTCGTCTTTCTCGACACTGAGTCGTCAACTCATTGATAACATTCTCCGATTACGACAGCCCCGTTTGATCCCTTGGGACCTCCTTTCGTTGCGCGTTCAATTATTCAACTTCTATCTGATCAAAAAAGTACCTTGGAGAAAATTCAATCTCATATCAGAAAAAACGTATCGATTCCAAGCATTGATCCAACAAAAACCCTAGCGACAGAATTTCTGGCGGGGACTGGGGACCAACGACTCATTGCTGACTCGTCGAGGCTTTCCGGAGCGTCTTCTGCAGAATTGTCGTTCGCTCGATGTTTCGACGGACCTCCTGAACGCTTTCCTTCGCCCCATCGATGGCTGCGTCCTTTCCCTTCAAGCTCCGATCTCATTAGGGATCCCTCGCCCGTCGTCTCTTCGCCTCCCTTCAAAGCGAGTCCGTGGTCGGATGTCGAGTCGATCTCTGGTCTGAGTGAAACCCCGCCGCTTCCCAATCCGTATAAGGAAACACGCAGGACATTTCGTCGCAAGAACTGATCGACAAGTCGCCTAGTCTCTTCAAAGAGGAATCGAGTGGTGCCGAACATTTAGTATTTCATCAACTTGCCAGACGGAAAAGTCATCCCGATCTTAAAGAGTTGCATTCTATCGTGGACACTCAGTGGATGGCCTGCCTCAATCACGATGATGATTGGGACGTGGTGAGACGCAGATCAAGATCAGTCGACGTTAGAGGAGACATTCAATTGCACACGGACTGTTTTTTTGTCGCTGGACTGCGTTCTGTCTCGTATGGAGGACGAATAGATCGATTAGACGATTCTCAGAGCGGAGCGCAAAGACCTCGTCAGTCCTTCGACTTATCGTCTGAATTAGTTTCTGTTTTACTGCGTGAGTTCATGATTCTTCAATTCCCACACTTCGAAAAATTTCTCGGATCTCTTCAGGAGATTTCGACCGAATTGTTGCTCCAGTTCTTTTGAACGCTCGAAGTCTTGAGTTGACTCCAGGGATTTTTGGTTTATCGTGTCCCTTCCAAGATCGCGATATCGGATCGATGATCTCATACGCATTACTCTCTGAGCCATTGTGGACTCAAACTGAGGATTGCTGGTTGGAAGCTCTAGGTGCGAGTTTGGACGTTTTGGTGTGTCCTATTTCATATTTGTTAATTTTAGGGAGGCCGTCGTGTCCGATAGGAGAGCTACTTTCAAAACGCATTTCTAACTTTTCAGTCGAGAGAAAATGTTTATGCTCTCTTCCTTCTTGGTGTCATCAGACAGACACAGATTCTTCAACGCCTCAGAATGAAGAAAAGCCCGAAGAACTCCAATGGAATTCAGAAGAACTAAACTTGTTGGCGAAAGTATGCATCTCACTACTCAACTCTTGATGGCGATATGTCGACGATATATTGAATAGATGAAGATATGTCGATAATATATTTGTCATCACAATAATCACAATATCTTCTAGGTTCAGAAATCTTCGATTATCTATTTTCAGATCATTGAAGATCCATTCAAGAATCATGTCGATGTTGAGTTTGATGAAAATGGAACATCAATTGTCGTTCGAGTTCTTTATCCTTTGCAATTTCATGCTTTACGTCATTTTTTTTGTCTCGATGATCTCAATTTCGTACGTTCTCTAATGCGATCAATTCCATCGAAGACCGCGGGGGGAAAGTCGCAGGCGTCCTTCTATACAACTTACGATCGGTATGTCTCAATAGGGAGGGTATGATGTCCCAATAGGGAGGGTATGATGTCCCAATAGGGAGGGTATGATGTCCCAATAGAGAGCCTCCATCTCTCCTGTCTTTAGACGCTATATAATGAAGCAACTCAACCGTCAAGAATTTCGATGGGTTGTTTCCAATGGACAGTCTCTTCTGTCTCGCTACTCACGCACGTGTATTCGTCCCTTGCTGGCGGATCCGCCCGGAACAGCGACGACGCTCCTTACCCCGTTATATGGTTTGTTCTCCGTTTCATACCGAAAGGGCTCGACGAAATGGGCGCGACACATCGTCGTCTTGCAGAACTTGAAATACAACGTCGCAGCGCGACCAGATGGGATCCGACGTATCGCGCCATCCCTGATTGAGAAGAAACCAGCAGGGGAAGCCGACAAGGCTGAAGAGGACCCGACTTCCCCATCCCGGACGACGTCTTTGGGACATCACCTGCTTTCATTTGGAGCTCGATCAATAGAGTCGTCGATTATTAATTTTGATTTAAAGGGAGTCGGACGCCAAAGATATTTGAGTGTACCTCTCCCAACGAGTCCATTACTGACAGCCGATCATCAAAAGATATTAGGAGAACACCAAGTAGATTGGGAATTGGATATTGTGATGAGAAGGATTCAATTGTATGCCCAAGTCCCTCATGCAAAACATCTCGCCCATCTTCAATACCGAAGGACTATGAAGCTCTCAATGACTCCTCAGATTCAGAAGTCACCAATCGGGCATTAAAACCCCAATTCAATGACAGACAATTTAACGATGAGTCGGAAATTCATTTGGGACACGCCCCCCATCAATTCAGTCCTACTCGAAACCAGCAAGAGGGACATTGTTCTTTGGGATCAGAACTTCAGAGAATGGACGAAGGGATTTCCATTGATTTTAGGAGGGGAGGAGGAACGATGGCTCAAACGCGCGGTATGTAGGAATCCTAATATCCCCGTGATGATGAATGATGGAATATTCCTGCAAACGATAAAAGAATATCTTTTTCAAGATAAATGGAGACACCGAGTTTCTCGCGAGTCTAGGCGTTATCGATTATTCAATCCTGGTGATAATCGATCTCACAAAGAGACAAATATATGCGGGGATCATCGACTTTTTAAGGCAAGTCTTATTATCAATTCCGTCATCGTGTGATAACTTTCAGACCATACACTTGGGACAAGCAGTTCGAGACGGTTGGCAAACAACTTGCAACAATGGCGATCGTCACGGGAGTCCTTCCCACCGTTATTTCACCAACAGAGTATCAGGAACGCTTCTGTACTGCAATGGAAACATTTTTTACATCAACAATTCCTTCGTTGGATCCTTTTGTGTCCCAACCATTCGTCGTACCAGAACCAATTGGATTCCCTTCTGCTCCTCGTATTGCAAAAGGACCTGAAGATCAATCCGACGAGTTCCGTATCTGCAACCGCATTCTGCGCGAAGCCATTAATTTGGCGGAACAAATTAATGCGGAATCTCTCTAGTGAAAGAAAATGCTTTTTATTTTGCACACTGATCGAAAAGGTTCAGATGAATTTGTCGTTGACTAGTCATCTATTCGGAACACAATGTCCACACCGTCCTTTCTAACTTGTCCTCAATTTCTCGCTGAGTCTTTGAAGACTCTCGGCATTGAAGTGGTCTTTGGAGAAATCGGAATTCCCGTCACACAGATTGCATTCGAACTGCAAACAATTGGAGTCAAATTTATTTCTCACCGTTCTGAGGCTCCAGCTACATATGCAGCATCCTGCTACGCCTACCTGACAACGGCTTCCAAGTCCTTGCCAGGGATTGCGCTGACGACAGGGGGTCCAGGTTTTGTTAACGCCCTGTCTGGTGTGTCTCATGCTACGATCAATCGGTGGCCTTTCGTTCTCATTTCTGGATCCGCTGACCGAAATGAACTCAAGAAGGGCTCATTTCAGGTGAGAGATGAGGTCATTTTTAATGTCTTTATTCTTTGTTTCGAAGGAGTTGGATCAAATTAAAGTTTTGAGTGGAAATTCTCAGATATGCAAAGGATCATTCAGGATCGATAACATTGAAGATGTTCATGACACTCTCTTCAAAGCAATGAAGTTAGCAGTCAGGTACGACGAATGTTGATTCCATCAATTTGACTCTCGAGTTGATTTCATCAATTCCCTCATGATTCAAAGAGTCTCATCGCATTCCATCATTGTCCAGTTTCTTCTGTGTTATTCTCGATCGCTTGGAGTTGCCGTGATTTTTCATTTTGATTCTGTGCAATTATTGTCAGTGGGATTCCAGGGGGCGTGTACGTCGACATTCCTACAGATGTATTGAAACAGTCGGTCGATCGGATTGTCGCCAAACAGAAATTAGATTGTGAATTTCCAAAGGTAAGTTCGATTGCTCCCTCATCCCCATAAGTTTCCTTCCTTTAGATGAAACCTGAAATCCGGATAGATGCAACAAAAGTACGTGTTTCAGTTTTATGATTACACATTTATCGAGAATGACGTAATTTATCAATGATGACGTATTTATCGAAGATGATGTATTTATCAATGATGACGTATTTATCGAAGATGACGTATTTATCGGTTATGACGTATTTATCAATGATGACATGTTTATCGAGGATGACGTATTTATCGGTTATGACGTATTTATCGGTTATGACGTATTTATCAATGATGACATGTTTATCGAGGATGACGTATTTATCGGTAATGACGTATTTATCCATGATGACGTATTTATCGAAGATGAACGTATTTATCAATGATGACGTATTTATCAATGATGACGTATTTATCGAAGATGAACGTATTTATCAATGATGACATATTTATCGAGGGTGACGTATTTATCGGTTATGACGTATTTATCAATGATGACATATTTATCGAGGATGACGTATTTATCGGTTATGACGTATTAATCAATGATGACGTATTTATCGAAGATGAACGTATTTATCGGTTATGACGTATTTATCAATGATGACGTATTTATCAATGATGACGTATTTATCGAAGATGAACGTATTTATCAATGATGACATATTTATCGAGGATGACGTATTTATCGGTTATGACGTATTTATCAATGATGACATATTTATCGAGGATGACGTATTTATCGGTTATGACGTATTTATCAATGATGACGTATTTATCGAAGATGAACGTATTTATCAATGATGACATATTTATGACATATTTATCGAGGATGACGTATTTATCGGTTATGACGTATTAATCAATGATGACGTATTTATCGAAGATAACCCATTTATCGATGATGACGTATTTATGTTTCATTTATGAAATTTATTGTGGTTTATGGGTTTTATGGTTCCAGATTACTTTAGCGCTTGAACTTATAGCCAACGCTAAATCTCCCCTGATTGTTGTCGGAAAAGGCGCGTCGATCTCGTGTTGCGAAAATGAACTTCGCGAATTCGTTGAATTATCAGGAATTCCATTTCTTCCGACTCCGATGGGACGAGGGCTGCTCGACGACGATCACGCCCTCTCCGTTTCGTCGGATCGTAGTCGTTCTTTACGCGAGGCGGATGTCGTTCTCCTTCTTGGATGTCGTTTAAATTGGATTTTACATTTCGGGGAACCTCCACGTTGGAGAACAGATTGTCGATTCATCTGTGTTGATCTTGATGAAACAATTGAAAGTTCTCCCAAGGTTCGAATAAGTTCAAGAAATATTAATCTGGATAAATTTTCTTTCAGATTAATGTTTTTGTTCATGGCGATATTCGATCAACCCTAAATTCATTTCTTATTCATCTTCATTCCAATCCTTTAAAAAATCCCACTTCTGATGCTTGGATTTCATCAATTACAAAATCCGCTCTAGCGAAGAGACAGACTTCATCAGCTCCCTCAATTCCTGTCGCTCCTAACACACTTTCCTACTCGCAGGCTTTTTCAATTATCAAGCGACAACTCGAAAATCTCAAAATGGACAACAAACCAATCACCATTATTTCGGAAGGCTCGAAGACCATGGACATCAGCAGAGTAGCTTTGCCTGTTTTCCAACCCCGAGGTCGTCTGGATGCTGGAACTTGGGGCACCATGGGAGTGGGGCTTGCGTATGCTGTTGCGGCGAGCGTAGCCGGTGAGCCGCTCTTCATGGGACATCGTGGAGATTGGGGGCACACTAGTGTATATTTGGGACACTCTAGTGGAGATTGAGGGCACTCTAGTCGAGATTGAGGGCACTCTAGTCGATATTTGGGACGCTCTAGTGGACATTTGGGACACTCTAGTCGACATTTGGGAACTCTAGTGGATATTTGGAACGCTTTTGGGATACTCTGTCTTTCAATGATTAGATCCTTCTCCGCAACATTTTGTTATTGGAATTGAAGGAGATTCAGCAATTGGATTTTCTCTTTGCGAGTTGGAAACGTTAGTGCGTTATTCGCTACCTGCAATCATATTCGTGTTTAATAATGGTGGAGTCTATAGTGGAGCCTCGTCAGCACCTGGTGGGGATCCCTTGCCAACACAATTGTCCCACGGAACAAACTACGCAGCAGTAATGGCTGCGGTTGGAGGCACTGGGACGCGCGTATCGACTCTACAAGATCTGGAGGTATGTATTCGCCTGTCAGCACATTGAGTAGCGATATTCCCAGGCTGCATTCGAAAGCGCTATACGGCGCCGTGAACCGGCTCTTATTGAAATAATGATTGACCCTCTCGACGGGGAGGCAAAGAATGGGCTTGTCACTGGTGCAACGATGGGACAGGCCAAGCATTGATCATGCCGTCGCTCAACGTGGTTGTTTCAATCAAGATGATAAAGTTCTTCGTTTTTCTAGTTTTTTGTTGAGTATTCGATGTAGGCCAGACCACGTACTTTTGGGAGAACGTTTCCGTCCCTCAGACTCGAATGTTGAGACTGAAACCGTCATCGCGAACGCTGCTCGGTTCAGCAAAGAGGACCCTCTTCAGTAGTTTGTGGTCGGGAAATACCCCCCAGAAAACTAATGATAAATCCATCCCGACATTTGGAAACGTCCCTCAATTGTTTCATTTTACGGACGCAAATGGATCTTTGTTGGACTTCGGAGGTCTTCTTCGAGTCACATCAGAGTTGGGAAATCTGGTAGAAGCACCCGAGGCCCGTCATCAGCTACAACAAATGGGTGAAGATCCAAGTTTCGAGCGTCTGATGGAATCTCTAAAGAAGTCGACTGAAGGACTTAGTGCGTCTGAAACAATTGCGCTTCTTAAGTCTTTAGCAACATTGAAGGCACGTGTCCCATCGACATCGCCTAAGATCGCAGACCTCATAGACGAAATTCTTCGTCGCCTCTTTCACAATGAGCTCAAACTGTCTCCCGATCAAACAGTCACATTCTGCTTTTGGATCACTCAAACAGGAGTTGCCGATTTATCTTTTCCCCGTTATCTCAGAGAAGCGATTCCCAAAATTACTCCCAATTTGGGACTTCAAGCAACGCGAATGATGCTTCGGACTCTGAATACTTTGGAGCTGCGAGACTGGGCCCTTTGTAACCCACTCTCCGATAAATTAACAAACGAAATCGACCAGTATTCGAATGAGGATGTCATTGATACACTACGATTAGATTTTGAGACGAGTATGGTGAGCTGAACACTTTCCATCTTTCTCCTCTATTTTGTCTTTAGGTCAATCGTCCTTTATACTTGAAGTTGAGAAACATGGTTTCAAAACATCCAGAATTATTCAGCGAGAATGAGCTCGTTGAGGGCTACTTTATTATGTGTCAGCTACGCTATTTGAATCCGCGTTTGATCTCGAACATTATGGATTTGATCAAACGGAAAGTTGAAAAGCTCAACAACGATCAACTCATAAAAGTAAATTCTTGTTTGTATTCCTAGAAGCAAAAATTCCAACTTGATCACTTTTACATCTTTCATGTTCAGATCATCATGGGGACGATGCAAATTGGATCGACACAAGCTTCAGATGTTGAGCCCTTTATCAACACTTTCCTTGCTCGGCGTTCTGTCGATGAGATGTCCTTGGATGAAGCAATCGTTTTGATCTACTCTATCTGTCATTACGAGCGCCAAGGTAGGTTTCAGTAGTCCTGAACTGGAAGCTCCTCTTGTTGATGATGATAACAAATCGAGTTTTGACAAATTTGTGAGGATGTTCTGCGTTGCTTCAGACCAGAAAACACTCTTGGAAAGTCTTATGCGTTACTATGTCTCAAAAGCTCCGTCTCAGTGAGGGTTGAAATTGTTCGTCTGGCACGTCACTCACTCTGTCTCCTTTCATGGTTTTGCAGACCTCCAAACGAACACCTTGCGATGCTCAGTGAAATCTTGGTCTCGATTGAGAATGAATTTGATGGTTTGAGAGTGATTTCCATCCCAGAGGCTCTAAGACGTTCGATCGACAGCTACGGTGGGATCCTCAGTAGAGTGAATGGGATCCTCCCTTCTTTTTTCCAGCCCTATCAGTGAAGGTGGATTGGAGGTTGAAAAAACAAGTCTTGATCCTTCAGAGCGAATTACCTGAATCACATCGAGTCCAATTGTCGCCTGATGTCGTCGTTGGGCCCTATACGGTTTCATTCGTGGACCAGTCTCATAAGTTGATAGTAGAAGTGGTGAGCTTCGCCGCTCTTGAAATGGTCGTGCTATCAACTGACGAGTTGGAAGAAATACCATCCGATGAATTTTATCAGTTTGTACGTTTCAGATAATGCAAAGAGCCCCTGTGGGTATCGTCATGAGAGAAAGACACCTGAAACGTTTGGGCTATAGGGTGGCAAGGCTCTCTGGTAAAGCAATGCTCCACACCAGAAAGACAGTGAGTAATACTCTTTAATAGGGACAAATTCAAATTACTTTACACCCTTCAGCTTGCTATGCTCGAAGTTTTCACACGGGCTCTTGACGATTACGCGGTGGAGTCTGAACGTGCCAAATATGCAGATGTTGTTGCAAGAAAACAAAACTCGAAAAGGAGGGACTAGATTTTTTTTATTCTGCAAACAATTTTTCCGTTTTCGTTCGGGTCCTGTTCTCACCAGTTGGGACAGTCTCACTGCTTGAACTCGGAGTGTTTCAGCGAAAATGGTGAGTTGTGCTGTTTTCTTGCATGTTAATTTTCCTTAGTTTTTTTTTCTTCATCATTTTTGGTTCTGAGATTCTTTCATTTTTTTTAGGTCAATTTTACTATCGATGAAGTCCGCAGCATTATGGGCAATTCATCCAACATTCGAAACATGTCTGTTATCGCGCATGTTGATCATGGAAAGTCCACATTGACAGATTCGCTGGTCTCTAAAGCTGGGATCATTGCTGCCAAAGCCGCCGGTGATGCTCGTTTCACTGACACGCGTGCTGATGAACAAGAGCGGTGCATTACGATCAAGTCGACAGGGATTTCGCTTTATTTTGAACATGATTTAGAAGACGGCAAGGGAAAACAGCCGTTTCTGATCAACCTCATTGACTCGCCTGGACATGTCGATTTCTCTTCCGAGGTCACTGCTGCACTGCGCGTCACGGATGGTGCTCTTGTTGTTGTCGACACCGTTGAAGGAGTTTGCGTTCAGACCGAGACTGTTCTACGCCAAGCTCTTCAGGAGCGGATCAAACCAGTCCTTCATGTCAATAAAGTCGATCGCGCTCTTCTTGAATTGATGATGGACTCTGAATCAATTTACCAAACATTTAGTCGAACTATCGAAAACGTAAATGTAATTATCGCAACATACAACGACGCCCTTATGGGAGACGTCCAAGTATATCCAGAGAGGGGAACAGTGTCATTCGGATCGGGTCTTCACGGATGGGCTTTCACTGTTGAGAAGTTCGCTCGAATGTATGCGAAGAAGCTTGGTGTTGAGAAAACCAAACTGATGCAACGTCTTTGGGGGGACAGTTTCTATAATGCGAAGAAAAAAACATTTGCAAAAACAAAGGGAGAGGATTCGAATCGCGCATTTTGTCAGTTTATTATGGATCCCATCTGCTCTCTCTTCACTCAGATTATGAATGAGGACAAACCAGGATACGAGAAAATCCTTACTGCTATTGGGATTGAACTGAAAGGCGATGACAGAAATTTGACGGGAAAGCACCTTTTGAAACGTGTGATGCAACTCTGGCTGAACGCGGGTGATACACTCCTTGAAATGATCGTGACCCATCTTCCGTCACCAATTGTTGCGCAAAAATACCGCGTGGAGAATTTGTATGAAGGCCCGATGGATGATGCGGCGGCGAATGGAATCCGAAATTGTGATCCAAACGGTCCTCTGATGATGTACATTTCGAAAATGGTTCCCACGTCGGACAAGGGCAGATTCTATGCGTTCGGTCGCGTGTTTTCCGGAGTTGTTTCAACCGGACAGAAAGTCCGCATTCAAGGGCCGCATTACAAACCTGGAAGCAAGGACGATTTGAACATTAAGAATGTGCAACGAACTGTATTGATGATGGGACGCTACGTTGAGAAGGTTAACGATGTCCCTTGCGGCAACACAGTCGGTCTTGTGGGTGAGTTTCCTAATACTGAGGTGCTTCTATGTGTTTATGTATCATTCGATCATTCCATTTATCTTTATATGTCATTCTATCTGTATATTTATATATCGTTGTATTGGCCCTTCTATATCATTGTAGTTGTCTTTATTCTTTGTTAGGGGTGGATCAATATCTTCTCAAATCTGGGACAATCACTACATTTGAAGATGCGCATAATATTGCTAATATGAAATATTCGGTATCGCCAGTTGTCCGCGTTGCAGTCACGCCAAAAGATCAAAAAGAATTGCCAAAACTTGTTGATGGTCTCAAAAAGCTTGCAAAATCAGATCCATTGGTTGTCTGCTCTACCGAAGAGTCAGGCGAGCATATCATTGCTGGCTGCGGGGAGCTTCACGTTGAGATTTGTTTAAAAGATCTCAAAGACGAATATGCGCAAATCGAGTTTATCACCTCTGACCCAATTGTGTCGTATCGGGAATCTGTTCTTGGGACATCATCTCAAGTCTGTCTCTCGAAATCTCCGAATAAGCACAACCGTCTTTACATGACGGCGGAACCTCTTGACGACATTCTGACAACAATGATCGAATCTGGCAAAATGGGTCCACGCGATGAAGCAAAGGAACGAGCAAATCTTCTCGCTGAAAAATTCAATTGGGACAAGAACCATGCATACAAAATATGGTGTTTTGGTCCTGAAACAACTGGACCCAACTGCCTGGTCGATGTGACACAAGGAGTTCAATATCTCAGTGAAATCAAGGACCACTGCAATTCTGCATTCCAATGGGCGTCGAAGGATGGCGTTTTGTGCGAAGAAAATATGCGAGGAATTCGATTCAATCTGCATGATGTGACTCTTCACACGGACGCTATTCATCGCGGGGCAGGACAAATTATGCCGACGTGTCGCCGATGTTTGTACGCATGCTCACTGACAGCACAGCCGCGACTCCAAGAACCGATTTTCCTCGTCGATATTACGTGTCCACAAGATGCTGTTGGGGGGATTTATAGCACGCTGAACCAGCGGCGTGGGCAAGTCATCACTGAAGAACAACGACCTGGAACGCCTCTCATTCAAATTCAAGCGCATTTGCCTGTCGCTGAATCTTTTGGATTCACTACCGCCCTTCGTGCCGCGACTTCAGGCCAAGCATTTCCACAAGTACGTTTGAAGCCACCTATTAGTTCATTATTTGTCGAGCTGGCTGACTCACTCCATTCCTTAGTGTGTATTTGATCATTGGGCTCTTGTGAACGGCGATCCACTAGAGAGAGGATCAAAACTTGAAGAACTTGTTAAAAACATTCGAAAGCGAAAAAATCTCAAGGAGGATCTCCCAACCCTTGTGAGTAAATTTGCGGTCCTTGATGATTAATTCTCTTCTTTTTGTTAGGATTCTTACTTGGATAAACTTTGAATTTTCTAATAGTGTGTTGCTGAATACGTGAATTTGTTCCCAGATCTATTTTTTCGTGTCCACTTTTTTTTGGTGTTCGAGCAACAAGCTTTAAATAAGTGAAGGATGAAAACCCACGAGGAAATGTGCTGTTAGTGTTGACGATGGACAAACAGCTTCTTGTCCCTCTTGTTCTTGTTCACTTCCTCATGTCTTCCATATATTCCTCAACTTGGTTTTATCACATTTGTTACACTGATGGATCTATAATAGTGATGATATTCCCATGATGATGGAATGATGAATCACTTTATCTTCTTGAATTGATTTGTTCGATTCTAAGGATGTCAATTTGTTTCATCCAGATCAATTAAGAATCATTCAACAGTCATGCCCTACTCACGGATCCCTCACGCTACCCACACGAATTCTATCAACTATTCATGCGCATGACGAGAAATCTCCTTCTTCGCGTCCCAGGCTGTTTGAGATAGTTAAGAGATGTTTATGTCACTTTTTCCCTGCATGTATCTTCCTTTCGTCTCATATTCAACCCACATAGAACAACGACTTTAAAACTTGTGCCAAATGAATCCAATCAGCTAGTAACAATTTCCCGACGAACCCAAGACTCAGCGAAACAAGACAATCCTCAAGACGTCCTCCACTCCGCTGAGTCTCCTATCGTCTCCATGGATTGCAAACAATCCTCACGATTTTACTGAACATCATGACAACCAACAGAGTATGTCACTTTCAGCAGAAGCGAGGACAACAGTCGCCAGCAGTGTCTATGAGTCCTCGAACAACGGCTTCACGAACAGAATATTGAGTGACAACGGCACATGGAGTGACAATAACACATTGAGTGACGACAACCCTACATTGGAAAACGCTATGATTGTTTGTGGGGTCATCCTTTCTTTTATTCTTCTGCACCATTGGGTCTATAAAACGTCTTGATACCAAGAGAGCAAGTCACTTTCAGCATATCGTCAGTAGCATCGTCCCGTGCGGCCCAGAACACATAAAGACATCACAGACCTCTTATTGAGTGAAAACAGTGAATTATGTAACAACAATGCATTATGCAGTGAGTGGATTATGGAGTAGCAACAGTGCATTGCCGAGTAACAACACCAGCTGGTCCCAGGACTTAACATCGACTGTGTCGGGGGCATCTCCATTTTGATTGTTGGTAAGCTGTATGTTTTGTTTCGTTTTCGTGTAAATCAAGAAAAGAAGAGAACCGGCGTTAGCTGCCTACTCCATCGAGCCCTCCCTCCAAATCCACCGTTCCCTTGTTCTAATGTTCACGTCAACAATCGGCAACATTAAAGTTTAGTGACTAGAAGACAGAACGAATAGAATGAGTTGAACGGCGGAATTTTAAGAGGGTGACTGTGGACAATCTCTTTTTATCGTTATTTTATAAATTCGAAAACTTCTGTTTAATGGTTCCCCGTGTAGAAAAACCAACTCAACAACAACTAGTCGTTTCAGGTTCTGCCATCCCTCTGGAAAAATGTGAAGCTTAAAAGCATGATGAAAACCCACGAGCAAATGTGCCGTTAGTGTTGACGAAAGGACAAACAACTTTGTTCTTTCTTCCTCTGTTTTTTTATTCACGGTAGGTCATTAAACAATGAGGCATGCATATTCCTAACTTGGTTTTATCACATTTCTTGCACCGATGGATCTATAATAGTCAAGAGAAAAACCTGTTCAAGCTGTAGCGATACCATCCTGGAAGATCATAGAAGTATTCATCCTTGCGACTTTCCATTTTTGAGCAATGTGCCTAAAGAATGATACATGTCCGTTTGATTGCCCATGTTTCGATGAATGCCATTCTTTCATGGATCTCCAGTGAAGCACCATTCAAAAGTGAAAGACTTTTCATCAGAGCGAAATTGATCGGAACCAGCAGAAAAAGCAAAGATGTGGTACACGATTAAAGATGATGCTTTCCCATTCAAGATACGGTTTATCATTGCATGATATTCCGTTGTATGACTGATTTTCGATAAGTCGGATTTCTCTTTTCACAAAGTCGCAAGGGATCAGTATTATGGGGCATGTTGATTCTACTGATCGATATTCGAGTTGGATGAACCCCATAATTCTGTCCCAATGCAATCATTCTGTCCCAATGCAATCATTCTGTCCCAATGCCCATCATTCTGAAATTTTACAGCATTGAGTGAGAGAGCGAACATCGTATTGTTTGACTTTGATTGCTGAAGTCTTTCTTTTTTTGATGGTGCTTCACTGGAAATGAACTGGAGAATAACATTCATCAGTTAAGGACCTGATTGCCGCATGCAGACCTGATTGATTGCCCCATGCATGCGGCAATCAAATGGACATGTATCATTCTTTACGCACATTTCTCAAAAATGGAAAGTCGCAAGGATGAATACTTCTGAGATCTTCCAGGATGGTATCGCTACACCTTTCTCGCGTGTCTTTTTTTGGTTGCTTTACTCACCGGACCCCGGTAAGAAAATTTATTTGTTTGGTGATCACCTCCTTGTTTTCCTCAGTATTTCTTCATAGCATAGATCACTTGTTCATGTGAGTCCCCCCCCCTTCTCTGGTTGCAACCCAATCTCTATGTCCAGTGTCAGTTATTGCCCTCCCGGGACATTTTGCGCTGAATACCTAGTCGCAATCTCAAGTCTTCCGCGAGAATGTCTTGCGACCCAACCCTTCTTCGCTCTCGTAGGAGGGCTCCTTCTTGGTTCGCGTACCTGTTTATCCTTTTCTCTCATTTTGTCTCATTCGTAGATTTGCTTGGAGGCAAGATCACGGCGCTATTCGGATGCGAGACTTCCGGTTTATCTCGAATCGCTATAGTTTCTATCTTTTCAGAATTGGTTTGCAAGTCGCTGGATGGGTAATCATATCCGTATCTGGTCCAACATTTGAGGGCTATGGGGATGCTTTTTTGGGCCGCTGGAATCGAACCAGCGTTCTTTGGAATCGTTTCCGTCGCAAATCTCTTTCCTACACGGACAGCTACGGCGATTTCAATCTTAGAAGCTGCACGGTATTCATTCAATGATATGAATTTCAAACCTGTTGAATGATTTTCAGAGCGTTGTCTCCCCGCTTTGCTCCGATCTTATTTCGGGCCCTATACAAACAGCAATAACGCTCCAGCAAATTTCAATCACGTATGCCGTGGCCACAGGAGTTTGTTTCATCGCAGCAATATTTTTAGTTCCGTTTCAATCATACCCAAGACTTCCGCGGGGAAAAAATTTGAATACAGAAAACACTTTACTGCCAACATATCGTGAGACAATTCACCAGCGACCTCGCATCAGCATGTTCAACCAAACTGAAGGGCTCCTAAAACAGGTTTTGACATCTTCATATTTGCTATTCTGCGTTGTGGCGATCAGTGCTATCCTTCAACTATTTGTCTTTCTATTTGATGTACATCGATACAGACGGCGTTACTAACCATGTTCTTGTCTTCGCCTTCATTTTGTCTCCTTTCATTGGATTTCTTGCGGATTACAGCGTCAGGCTGATGTTCATCGCTGTCGCTGCTTCTGGCATGCTAACGGCCTTGTTGACATTGCTTCAAGTCTTGTCGCTGTATATCCCAGCCATTCTCGGCTTAGTCTTCTTCAGCTGTGCATTCACTCAAGTAAGCCACCTTCATGTCATTCGTCTTATCATTCCCCCATTTGGCAGTTTTATATCTTCCCAGCGTTCGTCTACCCTCAGTGTCACATTGCATGGTCTCAGGGAAAATTGACTGGGATGGCGTTGTTTCTTGGCGGACTCGTGGGGCTCGCTTATGCGCCGATGGTGAAGACTTCTCTAATCTATGGTCCCATGAGCATGAGTTCCACCGTCTTTCTCCTTGAAGTTTCCGTCTGTCTTATTGCCTTTTATTTGAGGTCTAATAAAAAAGCAGAGGAAGAAGAAGCTCCAGCAGCTGTGAGCATTGCATAAATGAGGTCATTTGACAATTCGCGTAGCCCAGACAGTTTTTTCTGTAGTTATTTCATGACTCATTTTCTTGATGTGACCCTTGCGGGGCTCTTTTTTAGTGGAAGTATTGAATTCTGCGAACTAACGGATTGCAAATGAGCTTCCAAACGCGTTCTCTCTCTTTGTGTGTTGCAGTGTCTTGGAAGGCACTTTGATGCATCTAGGAGCAACAGGGTGCGCTTCTCTGGGAGATTCGTCAAAGGAGTCAACTATGATTCATATAATCAGTAACCATTTATTATTCAGTCTGAGGTGTGTCAGTCAGAGGCATAGTTCACCATTCCCTCAGATCATGGCGTCTCTCGAATACTTCAGTTTTTTCAACCATTTTTTGGAGTTTTTTGCTCAGATCTTTGACGCATCTGATTCTGACTCGGTAGTGAGTGACGCAACGGCGACGTCTTAAATGGAAGAGGCTATTGATTGCTCCTCATAATCATATACGAAATTGAGACCTGGATGACAGAGGTCGGTGGTTCAGAAGTCATAACAATTCTTGGAAGCTGTTTGCACCAAAATGTAAATGCATGTGACAAAGATAAGATGATACCACAATACTACATTTCAGAGTAATGTTCTCAATCGGATACACATTGATAAAGAAGTGTTTAAATACAGAGAAAATGAATGAAGACAGGAAACTATCCGATAAATCGATCAGATAAATAGCAGAAATCAACGAAAAGTTTGATTACAGGGCAATTCTGACTTAAGACAGGGTTTAAACACGGTAACTTACTGGACACCCATCGACATCCCATCTGTGCTTCACAGCCTGCATTCGAGACAACATCCACACTTTGCACGCTGGGTCAAATAGTGAACGTTCTCGTGAAGTTATCAGAGAGTTATCATGACAATCTCTGAAATCATCAGGGTTTTGTTTGTGGGGGAAGATCAATAACTCCAACTGTCTGGGCTCTGATGGTTTGGTCAGACGATCCCGCCATCCATATCGTCTGGCACTCCAACTCCACTTTGTATTCCTCAGCGAGCAGCTGAACTCGTTCGAACTCCGATCCGACGAAACTCTTTCAGCGTATTCAAAAACACTTCAAGAAATATCGAAAAACTAAAGATCTGGATTTATCTTAGAGATTATTTCTTCATCGATTAATGGATAAGCATCCTGGGAAAGACTCGAATTTTTGTCACGGAGCCAGGGATGCTCAAGAGCTGCAATGGAAGAAAGAGGAAGGTGTCCCAAATCGTCTTTAGTTTGTAACATGGATGACATTTGATGATTCTCTAACTTCTTCGAGTCTGGAAGCTGAACTCACCTTCAGCGGCTGTTATCCTTTCTTTCGGATTCTTACACAAACAACGACGCATGAAATCAAGAGCTAAGTTGGATGGAGAGTTGTGGCGCCGTGGGGGAAAAACTAAATCGCTGTCTTGAATCTTGGGCTAAAAGAGAATCGAGCGATTATTGAACAAGTTAAAGACGGATGCAGCTTACGAAGGCGCTTACGAATATTTCGTCTTCTCGGAGCACACCGTTGAAGGGATATTCGCCGTAGATGAGCAAGTACACGATAACACCGGCAGCCCAAATATCAACTTCGATACCATAATGGCGCCTGGAAATGGAATTAATCATCGAATTATCGAAATCCGTCATCGAATTATCAAAATCCATTATCGAATTATCAAAATCCATTATCGAATTGATCGACATACTTGATAATTTCAGGAGCAATATAGTGAGGCGATCCACAACAAACAGAAAGATATTCATTTTCGGGAAGATGAACCGACATCCCAAAATCGATCAAAACAAGGCGGTAACTGGTGAGGGGGTCCTGATTGATTGTTGCTTCTGTTGAGAGAAAAGACATGTTGCTACTGTTGGATCGGGATTTTGATGAGAATCTTGAGTTCGTTGTTAGGCAGTCAGGTCGCAATAGAAGATTAGGTATAAAGTGATGCGACGCTGTTGCGAGTTTTGAGGTGAAAAGAAAGTTTTGCGCTTTGATGTCGCGGTGAACGATTCGAAGATCATGAAGATATTTGATCGTCATCATGATGGATCGAACGATATCGATGATTTGGCTTTCTGTGAGTCGATCACTTTCTGGCAACGGCCGTTGAGCTAAATCAAGACCATTCTCACAATTATCGATTTTCTTGGGTAATCGATGTCGACGCTCTTTGATATGATTTATAATGAATCTAGATAAATCACATGAATCACACAATTCCATCACCTACAAAAAAAGATATTTCAATCTGTCCCAATTGTGTCCCAATTCTCGGAATCTCACAGCATAGAGCGATGATGGCCCTTCAAAGGAATCCACAAGCGACACCACGTTCGGATGGTCTGTCCCAAAAGCGAGATAGAGATTCCCAAAAGCGAGGTTGATTTTGAGGACCAACTCACCCAATTGTTTCAGCATGGTGATCTCGTTAAAAAACATCGCTTGAAGATCTGGTTCACAGGATTGGCGGGTTGGATTATGTTTTTTCATCACTTTCACAGCAAACTCTTTTCGCGTCCGCAGATCAACGCAAAGACGAATCTCACTACAACGAGCGACGAGAAAAAAGAGCATCACTGACTGATAAAGTATGATGATGATGATTCGTTGCAAATTCGCTCATTTGGGACTCACCCAAAAGACCCACGACCAATCGATTGTCCCAAAGCGTAAAAATCTGAGAGACGACGACCATTAGAAAAACCCTCATCATCACTTTCAGAAGCATCGAGTAAACCAGAGCGCAGAGTTCGCAAGGAGCTTGGTCTGGATTCATCAATACTGCAGATTTTCAAAAAACCATGGTGATCAGTAGAGAGACTGTCCACTCCGCTTTCAGAAGCAATTCTTGTGTTTTCTGTATTGAATTGGTTTCTTTGAAACCTCTTCGGATGTGCCCGTTTATTGCTTACAACACTGAGGGCATATTGGTTCCGAACTCTGAGTGATTTTGGAGTGTCTTCCAATGGAGACAAATTTTGTCCCTCTGAAGGAGCTAGTGAAAACGTACACCCCATTAATGATAGAAATGTGCAATTAATTATGAAGAGAAGATTTGATTAAAATGTGAGTGAAGCGTTGGCCATCAACAATGTATTGGAGAATCAACAAATGAAGAGTCGAGCAATGAAGACATGTAGCATTGCGTCAAATTTATCTGCGATGAAGGGTCCATGCTTGGCGCCCTGATCGAAGGCATTTCACAATTGATTCGCGTGCTACTAGAGCGTGAAATAGTTTGAACATTTGCGCCTATAGATTGGAGGTAATGGTGTCTCCGATGAAACAGGTAAAGAAGGAGTCACGGTAGTCACAAAAAAAACCAAAGGAAGAACAAAGAATAGAATGAAGTATCAAAAATTTTGGAACGTCCCGAATAGCTGAAAGAAAATAAAAGAAGCATAACAAACAAAGTTGCGATAAAACATTTTCATACCACTTATATTCGCAGCCAGCTACAATGGAGGGATCCAAACCCTCTGAATATTGGTTACATAGCTGCGAAATCAAGGAGTTTTCTATGCTACACGTAGACAAAACGGAATTTCGGCAACCTTCTGTTGCGTTAGCGGCAATCTCTCTTCCTTTACAATTTTGGCTTGAACATGCCAAATGGCAAATTGCACCAATTAAATTAACTTTTAGACACTCAACAGAGTCTGATGAATAAGGACACTTTGAATAATCAGGACTCGCAGAAAGTTGCTGAATTTCTAGATTATCGTCGCCAAGTGACAAAGTAACCTTCTCTGAGGCTTTGAGCTTCCTTATGATTCCCAAGATGACGAGCCACTTTGGGTCGGTAAAGGGAACGTGGCACGCAGCGTCGATTTTTGGTCTATCAGAATCACATTGCGGACCCATGTATCCATTTGACACCAAGGTTGCCAACGCCCTCAACACTGTACATATTTTGGAGTGGTTTCCATCCTCGCATAATATTTTGATTATGTCCTCTAGCGATTTTCCTGAAGGACCTGATATCGCGCCCTCAAAACCTTCACTTTTGGGAATGAGGGCATAGGAGAAAGTCCCAACCAAAAATAGAATCGGGAACAGCCCTCTCATCCAATTTTTGCGTTAGAGGCTCGCAGTTCTGTTTCAGTTTTTGAACCAGTAGGGACAGGGAAAAGTAACAAGAGGTAATTGACACGGTAGCATCACTAAAATTCTAAAATGTCATTTTCATGCCAACCAACTTTCGCAAGGTTTGGTTTGCATGCAAATTGGATCATTGGTGGAGGTCCACAGAGCAATACTAATGACTCGTCTCCTGGTGGTGGCAGGTGTTCTCGTATCATTTCCTCATTGATGAATCCAACTGAATAATTCCATTTTAGAGGCGCTTCATCGATTGTGTACCAAAGATGAAATTGTTCACTATGATGAGAAACGATTTCTTCAAGAGTATCTCGAACCAAAATATCATCTTCTGACTTATTCGCGAAGAGCAACCAAACTTCTGTGTGATCTGTTCGGTTGTTTGTTATATGGCGGAGTATTTGCAGCATTGGGGTGATTCCAGTCCCCCCAGCAATCATTCCTATTTTCCGTTTTCGATATTCTCTTTTCCCATACGTGAAATGCCCGCCACCATAATATGTTAACAATCCAATCGGTCCCATGACATCGATCAGATCACCAATAGCCAGTTGGGACAAATACTGAGACATTTTTCCTCCATCAGGA